TCTTTTTTGAATACTCAGCATCTGATGCCTGTGAGAAAAACCTAGAACAAAAAAAAAAGAAAAGTGTCTATTAAGTAGCAGTGAGAAAATTAAACATGCTGAATGTATAATATTATTGTGTTTTAGCTCTGTAATGGCCTGCCAACCTGTTCAGTCTGTGCCCAGTGGCAGCTGGGATAAACTCCAGCCCTCTTTATTACTCTCACTGTGTAGGGTATCATTTGAATAGGGTATGGAAAATATTGCATAATAGAAAAATGCTGGTTAATTGTTACTGATTGTTAATCTTAAATAAGCAGCTTTGAATTGAATCTCAGACCATGCCGAGTTATTGTAAAAATCCACACGAAAATTACAATTCTCTGTTGGAATATTGTCTTTATATAGAACCAATCCACCTAGTAAAGTTATTTCTATTTAGTTATTGGTCACATGTCAAAATAAAGGTATTTTAGCGGTAATGTGGATTTTTTATTTATCCTAACCAAGTAGCTTTATTGTCTCTCCAGTTTGGATGTGTTATTGAGGCATTAATTACTAAAATGTGGTGCCATGACGTTTCATCTGAACCCTCGTTTTACTGCACCATGCCAGCTCAACTGTTTCCACAACAGTCAGATCTACTGAATATAACCCTTTCTGTTTTCCACATGTGCAAAATCAATTGGGATCGAGCTGATGAAGTGACATTGTTTCCATGTAGAGGCAAGTTAGTGGTCCACATTACGTCATGGAAGAGTTTCTCTGGTGTCTTTTTACGAGCTGAGTTGAGTCCAGCCCATACATGTATTTTGCCAGAGATGGACCAAGTTGATCTGGTGCAGATGACTATATTTATGTCACAGGTGCCTTTGAGGACATATCCCCCACGCAACACAAAGCCGCAGAATAATTCATGATGAGAGGCAGCGCTGACGTTCTTCTGTTGCTGGAGATAGTGTTCAAAGTGCCACACTGTGCAATGATCGATGTCTAATGTCTGCTTAAATCACGGTGACGGTTTTGAGGGTTCGGTTGTTTTAGTAAGGTTTGCTCCTCTCTCTTTCGCGCTCTTGGCGTTTCTAGTTTCAGCTCCCCCACCAGAAAAAACTGTCCAATTGTCCAAACTCGGAACACATCGACTGTTGTCCCCAGCAGGTAAGACACTAATGGGGTTGCACTTCACACAACCTCACTTTAAAACAAAGATAATCAATATGCCTCTAACCATACTCTGTATGGTTTATGTTCCACGCGGGCTAATGCTGAGCACAAACCAGATTGCACAGGTTTTCAGATTTATGATAACTGACAGATCACAGCTGTGTGTACCCACATGTGAAAAAGAGTCATTTTCTTATGTGCCCTGCTGGTTTTTAAGCACAGATTTAGAGCTCCACTTACGCACAGTTTGATAAATGAAGCCTCAGGTCTGTGCAAGTAATCAGCTTAATTGCTTTTGTGTCACATTCGTTTCCTTTCGTGTATTGCTCGGCCTCCAGGTCTGGGGAACCAACCTTTTCTCCCTCACAATTTGCTTTTTTTTTCCCAGCACGGGCATTTCCGTTTTAAATTCATTAAAATAATCAAAAGGCAAAAGCAGAAAAGCCACGTGGCTGACCGTGATGATGAAGTTTAGATTAAAGTCCTAGATAGTTTTCTTAAGGATAGAGGTTATGACTGTCGTGATTCTGATGGCTTTCTGAATAGCAGATGCTATTTATGCAAGCTTGAGTGAGATTTGTAAAGAACTACACAAAAGAGAGAATACCAGAGCCCCCAGAAGTGAACACACATTCTTCTTGTCCTTGTCAATGCTCAGTCACAGAGGTATCTTACATTTATTCATGAATCCATTCTGTCTGTTCATCCCTTATTTATGTATTTAGATTACAGAAAACTAAAGAGGTGGCTGGAGCAGGAGCTCCCATGGTTCCCTTCTGCTGACTGTCCCAAAAGCTTTGTCAACAAATATGGGCTCGAAATCTATCTATGTCTGCCCTCGCGGTGGGGAACAGCCTGCAGAGTTCAGATTTTAAAGAACACGCTTTTTCTCTCCGAGTTCAAAGCACTCCGCGCTAGTAGGAAAAACCATTCAGTTGGGAGCTGTTAAACCTTTGAATTAGTTTCTGTCTGTTGTGTTTAGATTGCATGTCCCTTCCCCAGCACTCGTCTAACCCTTCTTTCGCAAGTATTCGCTTTCTCGCCTTCCCTATTTGTGTTTACTTTCCAGATGCAATGCCTCGCTTTGCGCAATCTGCATGCCCCGCCACGTTGTTATCGTTGGGCTCCCTCCCATCTCAAAGGGGGGAAGCCCCGCCGGAATAAAAGCCACGGGCTTACGCCGCGCATGGCTGACCTTAAAGAACACCATATGCGATGGGTTCACATGTCAGAGGGGCCGAACTGGTGAATTGAAAGCGTGTGGTTACGTGTGTGGCTTCAGATGAATTTGAAGACAAAGAGCCCCATGGGGGGGGGGGGGGGGGGGGGGGCTCAGAAGGAAACCACAAACGGAAGGATAAATGACCTCTATTTTCAGTCATTAATGTTCTGCTGTTTTTTTGCAACCTCAATCTCATCCATGACTCCAAACGGAGGGGCTTTCTATTCATCTATTTTTCATGCTTCCTGTGTAGTTTTCTCTTCAGTGGCAAGGGTTCAGTCTAAGCTCTGTGCGTTCATTCTCCCCCTAAAAATAAAACCTCCTCGCTATCATGCACTACCTGCAAATCCTCCATTAACTCATGTCCCCTCTCTATGCCTAAGGAGGGCTATATAGTATGTATGTAACCGCACGCATTGGCCATTAGTCCTTTAGCATTTTTTGCGATCGGACTTCTGTGTGTCCCGATCAGTGAAAGAAATAAAAAAAAAAGAAAATGGAAAAAAAAAAAGGAAAAAAAACTCATCTCCTTACTCATCTCCTCCCGGAACAAATGCTTCCTGAGTGAATTTTGCTTTCAAAGGCACAATCTCTCCCTCTAACAATAGCACTGGCTTTTAAAGATACCACGCGCAACAACTGGCACACACGCATGAAATTTTCAGAGAACAGGAAAACATTCGCGGCGGCCCCTCTGTCTGCCCTAGTTAAGAGGACATGATGTACACCGCTCCTCGGCATGTCTGATGAGGGGAAAACATTGGTGTCATGTCAAGAATGACATTAGCGGAGCAGTGGAGTAGAAGGGGGGCAAGAAAGGCGAAACGTTTGCGCCTGACACACAATGGATGGGCGGGGGGGGGTTGTGAATGGCTGAATGAGTTTCTCTATGTTTCTCTTTTTGAACAGAACAGAACATATGTGATCTGCTTGTTTCTTTGTTGTGTGCGAGCTATGAACTGTCATCTGTGTGCAGACAATACGTAAACTGCACTTGAATTTGGATGTGCATTGAACCCTTCTGATGGCTTTACCGTTCCTATCATTCAACCGTGATCAAATGACCTATAGAAAGCCTGCTCGGAAGGAAGATTTAATCCCCGCATGTTTTTGGGCTGTCTTGAAAATCTAAAACGACTTCTTTTAAAGCAGCGGTGGCTCAGCTCGACGTGTTGTTTAACGAACTGTTCTTTGTTCTTTTTCTTTTATCGGAATATCCAACTGCAACCTGCGATGCTTTGAGTTGCTTTAATTAACACCCACTCGTGACTTTAAAATAACTCTATCCGTGTTTCCGCCATCACTTTTTTTTAAGGTTTATTGTCCTCAGAGGGCCACACACCTGTCATCTGCTCTCCTCTGTTGTAATTTAAACTTGGAAGTCAGAAAAAGAGCACCATGTTCAAAGAAGTATGTACAATGCAGAACAAGCTGAGAGAATGGAGAGTATATAATCACAGATGGATCACAAATTCCCTCCACAGAGCAAACATTTCCTGAGCTCGAACTTTCACGCATTATTCCGGTGTTATTTTATATCAAAACAACATTAAGAGTAATACAGAATAATACAGCGGCAGTGGAAAATATAAGAAGGTTCAGTCTCACAGCTTCGCTTAGTGAGCTAATTACCCCTGTCATTATGGTGGGAAATGGTCTATCACTTCCTCCAGCACGGCAAAGTACCAAAGCACAAACATTTCAGCAGCAAGAGCAATTTCTGATTGTACGTTAATGCATCAAACTGCACTCGTTGCAGTGTCCTCAAAGCTCTGCACAACCATTTTCTCTATTTATTCTTCGAAACAACAAAACGCGTGCTGCAATCGATCTCTATTTTGCTATGTGTGTTCAAAGGCTTCAAGGTGTACATTGAGGCTGATCTATATCTAGCCTACAAGTAATTATCATTTACAGGTTTGTTGGGACACTGATAACTGATAACACCCTTATCAGTGTCCTGGCGAAGCTGGTCGGAAGGTGAACCAAAAAATTCTCCAAAATTGAGTTTTGAAAGTCCGAGCGATCCTCAATTCTCTTCACCTCCACAGTCTCTACACCACCTGTCACGCCGTTGCAGCATCTTATTTTGACATCTCATTTTGTCCGTAGCTCTGTGTGATCTGTGGGGGATCCATCCACCGCATTCATTTCAGATAAGGTCTGCCTCCCGCGGCCCCCCGGAGAGACGTTCATCTTCTTCTTCTCAGGCTTACACGTTGACAGCGGTTGCTTTGGCTGTTGGCTTTCGCGAAATGTTTGTCTCTCTATCAACTCTCTGGAACCTAAATATCAATGAGACTAAAAGGCCATTACTATATGGCGACGGGCAAACTGATGCGATCGCCAAGGCCTGTAAATCAGTGGGTTGCGTCACAAATTGACTTACGGATGCATTCTGACCGATCCGAACAAGGGCAGGGTTTCAAATGCGTGGACTTTTCAACGTTCTAAGCTGTGGTCTTTCTGTGTGTGTGTGTGAACGTGTGCCCGCGGTTGGGTTGATGTGAGCGGCTGAGCCCGCTAAAAACGCTCCACAGGTCACGCCTTGTCTCTTCTCGTCAGCGCATGCAGGTAACATCCTGTAATTCCCCCCCCCCCCTTCTCTCGCCATAACCCCGATGGCCCGGGGTTTCTGGCACGGCTCCGGATCGGCGTGCGCAGCGCCGCAAAGGGGCCGGCGTCCCTCCTAATTGAATTATCCGAGTGCAAAAACAGGCATCAGACGGGATTCATGTCAGACTTGCCCCAGAGCGTCCAGGCCGGCCGGCCACTGCAGCGGTCAGACACGGTCTCTGGTTATTCAGGGAGGAGATGGGCGCAATGTGTGTGGGTTCACGCGGTAATATGTGTTTATTCGTGTGTACAAGACCAAGCCAATCGTGTGTGCGTGCGTGTCTTTCTGTGTGTGTGTGTGTGTGTGTGTGTGTGTGTGTGTTTGTGTGTGTGTGCTGCACAACTCCAAAGAGAGAACTCTAATTTCCGTCTCAGAGGAAAGTGTGATTGAACACAAACTATTTCGCCGGCGGGTCCAAGCAGTCACACTCTGCAACAACACAAGAGCAGATAAAAAAAGGAGAAGTCTTATTTTGTCCCTTATTTTCCCTCCACTCCGTCTTCGTCTGGGATTCGGCCGCCTTAATTCTCCCCGCCCTAACTGAATATCTTTTAGCGCCCTTTTTCTGGCTTCTTTTTCGTTTTTTTGTTTTTTTCTGTTCAATTTGCTGTTTACGTTCACTGGTGTGTTGAGGTTTAGCAAATCAGATTGCCGCCCTGTGAGAATTTGTAAGCCTCTGGACATCATCCCGCATGCGTTTGTGTGTGTCAGTGTGTATTGTTGCTGACCATCTGGCCATGGACAGATCTGACTATGGATACAATCGCAACAGATTAGAATGAGGTGGAGGGGAAAGCTCCTTTTCTCTCCTTCATTTAACTTGGCCCTCCTCGCCTCCCTTGCTTCATTTAACCTGCTCCACTTTCTCACTGCGTGTGTGTGTGAGCGCGTGTGTGTATGTGAGTATTCATAATGTTGTGAGGACCTAAATGTATTTACACTGCAACTTTTGTCCATATTGGGATCAAATTCAAGTCCAGTAATAAAAATGTAATATGTATATATGATGCTGTGAGGTTAGGTTTTGGTTAAAGTTGAACTAAGTCTTAATAAATGATTCCAAAGTCAATATAATATACTCTTGGGTGAGAGAGCGGTGACTCCGTACAGCTTGTGTCAGTCTCTATGTGCGATCAATGCCACGAGGGGTGATTATCCTGTATTGGTCAGTAATTGAGAACAAGTCACCTATTGGCTGCTACTTGGATGTGTTGAGCGACGGTTGACATCAGGACCAACCTGCTGAATGTTAATCCCCCCTCCGGATCAGCATGTAGTTAGCGATAATGCCAAACGAGTGTGAACTCTCCGCTGATTAAAAAGATTAATAAGGCTAATGGGTTGAAAAGCAGCATCAGTTTAGGCTGAATCACTCAGACAATCAGACATGAGGGAGCACACATAAAGGGTGGTAGTGAGGGAGTAAGGGAAAAGAGGAGGGGGGTTGGGGGGTGGGGGTGGGGGGGGGGGGGTAGAGCATTTGTTTGGATTCCCCTCATCTCCTCATCTGCTCCCGCCTGTTTGGCACTCACTCACCACGAGTGGCTGTGACCCCTCTCTTGGCATGCAGCAGGAGTAGGCTGCATTACTGAGCGAGCGTTTGGATGCGTGTGTGTGTGTGTGTGTGTGGGAAGACGGGTGCTCACATGCATTACAACTCTGAGGGGTTCTTTGTTTTTTTTTGTCTTTTTTTTTTCGTATGTGCGGCTGCATTTGTTTCAAAATTGGCTGCGTGGGAAAGTAGCTAAGTGGGAGTCACCGGGAGAATGATCCGGTGGTACTTTGTCTCTGTGGTACTGTGTCTGCGGCTCCAGAGTGACGTAGTTGCTGCAGAGCTGCTCCGTCTTGTGCGAGAGAGGGCGGGCCAGGAGGGCTAAATGTATCTTTGTGACAGACTGATTCCCCCTTTGTGAAAACGTGCCTTCGCCAGATGAGGCGTGCAATGCACTCAAGGCTAAATTAAAAAAGGGGCTGTAAATTGACCTTGATGCGATTCCGTGGCGAGACGTTTTTTGTCTTATCTCCTACTATACTGGGGGCTGTTATAAACTCAGTTTTTGGTTGTTGTTGTTGTTGTTGTTTTTTCTTTTAGGTTTTAACAATGTATGTCATAGTACCCCAAAGATTGCATCCCTATGGAGATCTTTAAAGCAGTGTCAATATGTGGTCACTTAGATTATAATCCAGTGGTGGGCCGTCAGGGCCTGCAAGGCCTTCTCTGAAGGCCTAAGAAAATATCTGAATCACAGACTGATGTTAATGATATTTTGTCCATAAAAAAGGTATTAAATATCTCTAAATAGTCTGTCAGCTTCCTTTCATAGCTTCTCCCCTGGTTGCGCTGCTTCCAGACATGTATTTTCATATAAAAGCATTTAACCAATCACATTTCAGACATCCTTTGTCGCTAGGCAGGGTCAAAGTCAAAGATGTCTGCCTGGAGGCCTTCACAATCCGTTCTGCAGGCCCCCCCCCACAGAAAATACATGTCGAGTACACTGTTGCTTCAACCAATCAGATGTTAGGTTGGTGATGCCAGGGCCTGCGCGAAGGCCCAGGAAATGCCACCGTACCCACACCCGCTGATTGGATAGTCAGATATCCAATCAGGGCAAAGCTAGCAAACAAACCGAAATATAGTTGTGTTGGTGTAATAGCTATTTTATTATTTCGTGGCGGATTTACTGTCAAGACCATTTTCAAAACGGACTTTTCAAGAAAAGTAAGTGAGTAAAATGTTGTTTTTTTCCTAAATGGTATTGCGAGTTTATGAGGACATTATTGATGTTTTTGTTTTGTTTTGTTTTTTGGGGGGGGGGGGGGGGG